CTTATGTCTCCAGCACCCATATTCCTAATCAGATGTGTGCACACTCCCACTTGTTCTCTCCAGCCCTGGATCTATGTTCTTTTTATTATCCTGGCAGGAGACGAGCTTCATTAGGGGAGTGGAGCCACTAACAAGGATGGGGAATGGCAACAACAAAAGGATAGAACGATATGAAGTTATGTCAAAAAAACAACACAAGAAAAACAGCTGACATTAGAAACAGTGAACATTAAAAATTCAAAACAGGTTGCGGGGGGAGGAACAGAGAGACAGAGAAACAAATAAAAACAGAGCCTTGAAACTAATAAATCCTGGGATTTGGGGAGTGCATCAAACTTGGCATGCTATTAAAACCAGTCTTATTTCTAATATTATCATTATTAACAGAATAGTAAATATATTTCCTCTTGGATTTCAGGGCAGATTACCGGCAATTTAAATACACATTTGGTAGCTGGATAAACTAACTACTCCACCCTGCTACTGACCTTCTTGCCAAGTTCCCTATAACTGAGAAATCTAAGGCGCTGTGTTGCTGAATTATAATTGTGCAGTCAGCCTGTGAATCATTTTGTATCCTAATTAGTGACCCTGGCATATATATGTAGATAGAATATACTAGGCTACCCAGCTACCCACGGTTATTCAGGTAAGCTGGCCATCCAGCTACCCATGGATTACTGGGTAGCCAAGCTGCCCATGACAAATCAGCTGAGCCAGCCAGCTACCAATTGCTAACTGGTTAGTTCACAGAAAATTGGTAAGATAACTGGTTAAGGAGCTAGGAATTCAGAACCTCGGTGTAGGCGAGGGGTGGGATATCATAGCTGTTTTGGGGGGTGCTGTCTACACTGTTAATGACAGCTTGCTGCCTAAGCCTGATCTCAGCTTCTACCCCTGATTCGAGGCTCTTTCTGGATGCTGCCTTACATATATTTATATTTCCTTGCTCAGGTGTGTGTGAATCAACAAGCACTTCCATACACAGGAGTGTTAGTGCCTGGATCCAGTCTCCAGTGGGGGGCTGTCTGCATCGCAACCCCTGGCACTGCAGTTAGTACTACTCGGCCCCTTTACCAGCAGTCTTGTCAGAGAGCCCAAGGTCTGGTGGGGCTGGCTGATGGTGTGAGCTCCCCTCTGCCCCTAGCAGTGCTGGGGGAAAGCTTGCCCTGCTGCCATCTGACCTGTTCTTGTTTGGTGTCTTATGCAGACCCTGGTCTCCTGTGCTATCACCCTGGCACATTTTACCTGCACAAAACTCATGTTAAAATTGCGGTACCTGCCTCCAAGCCCACGGCAGCACTGGAACCTCTTCCACATGGAGGCGGAACAAGCACCGCGAGCTCCAGTGGTGCTGTTTTCCCCTGCTGACAGGGTGTGTTGGCAGACGCCAACAGGTGTGGCCCGGTGTCTCGGCTGTGCGTGGCACGGAAGCTTCAGCATTCTCGTCTCGTGTCAGACTTCTCCTACGTTTTACGAGGCTTGTCCGTGCTTCTCTAATTACAGACTTTTTGAGACTTTTGCCAAACCAGTTCTACCCACCCCAGGTTTGCAGTGCTGCTTTAAAGGAAGCAGAGTGGAAAAAAACCTTGAGAGGTAACGCGTAGTTCCTGGGCATGTCAGGGGCTGGGCTGGGCATGAGGGGAAAGGATTCCCCTTTTCTGAGAAGCTGTCTGGCTTTGCTACTTTTCATGCTGAGGTGGTGGGTGTGATAAAAGAGCAGAAAAATCCCGAACACATAAACTCTTGTCTTGCCAGATAGTAGATCATCAGCACAGTCCTCTCCCACACTTAGACAGCCCCAGATTAAAAAGGACCCATAGAACAAAGGCAATAAAAAGAGGAACCTGCTCCTTTAACACTTTGAGCTTTATTGCTTTAGAAGTGGTAGCTGCAGAGCCATGTTTAATAAATCCTGGGATTTGGGGAGTGCATCTAACTCTGCATGCTATCAACTGCCTAATACTACTGTCCTTCTGCCTGTCTGTTTACCCTTCTGTCTGTCTCTAACTCTTTCATATAGTACTGACAATGTACTAGGTACTTCAGACATGCGGGGTGAGAAGGTCTCTGCAGGAAAACAAGAATCTATCTATCTGTCTGTCTATCTGTCTATCTATCTATCGCACCTGCACCCCTCCCTTCCATACCTGTCCCTAATATATGAATGCATTGTATGTAACCAAGGGAGGAACGTTATGCTGCTGGACTCTAAATTTTGCTTATCCCTTGTGGTCCTGTGCAGTGAATGCAGCATATACCATGGGGTGGAGGGTTTGTTTTCCAACTCTTGCCTCTCTCTTCTCCAGCTTTCCTGTCTCATGGGCACAGGAGTGGAACTTTAGAGATATCCAGGCAACATCTTTCAAAGTTTCCCTTTTGCCAAGAGCCCTGAAATCCCAGCAAAGTGCAGTAGCTGGAAATCTCATGCAGCTTGAGTTAAGTCTGGGGCCTTCCAGAGGTCTGTCTCTACCCTGACAGCAAAGCAGTGCAGCCGCCAATGGTCCCTGCTGGCATGTTCCCTAGAGGGGATCAGCTTTTGTTGTTAGGCACCGGTAGCCTCTCCTGAGCACGGGGAGTGAGCCGGCTTGCTTTAGAGGTGGCAGTAGAAAGGGCTGGCTGTATCGTGGCCAGCTTAACACCTGTTCCATGATTTGTTCATACAACAAAATGCAACACAAGCCGACGGAAAAGCTTCACGTACAGATGATTACAGTAGCTGTGGGAGCCAGGTATTTTTAAACTCTGACTGCAGTGTCAGTTCATGACCCTGGGTAGCATAATACCTGCACGTGTTTTATCTTCTGTCTATGCTGCAGCAGGGCAGGGGGAGAAGGAGCCAAAGTGTTGACAATCAAACATTTTTTGGGGAAAAAAATCCACTTTGACGTACAGCACCATCGTTCTGTTTTCTCTCTCCCTCCTTTCTCTCACTCTGTATGTGCGTGTGCTCTTGCGTTCGCACCCGCTCGCATGCTTTCCCCATCTCTTGCACACATTTCCTCTCTTAATATTATTCATCCTTATTACATATCATTATTCTTTATTATGATTTATATGCCATGCCACAAGTTTATGATGATTTATACCCCAGCCCCCAAAAGAGCTTACACAAGGCATTACCTGACAGAGAGACAGCACAGGGAGGGAGATGCAGCTTTCTCCCCATGCAGTGAGGCTAACTTGTTCAGAGATATAAGAAGCTCCCTCTGCTAGCTTCAGAGGGGAGTCTGAATTGACTTGTACGAGCCCTGACTTACCCTGGAATGACTAGGTCCTGGGGCCTGGCTGTCTTGCAAGGAGATGAGTAGCTGCTAGCCATGTCAATGGGAGATGCTTGTCTCTCGAGGTAGAACACGACTGGCATGTCTCTGCCCTCTCCTGTTCTGCACCCAGCCTCCTTAAAAGAGATTAAGTTAGAGATTGCCCTTACAGCAGGTCAGAGAAGAACTTTTGCAGGCTGCTGAACAGCATCAGCCCCATTTGGCTTCTGCTCGTCAAACAACTCAGCATTTTGTGCATATTTTCATGGATCAAAACGTCAGGGAGGTGGCGTTACCATTCGGGAATGTGCATTTCCATGGCAAGGGTCAATCAAATTATGCATTTTAAGCCGCTGGTAAAGCTTCAGTATGCACCTGAAAGAAGAAACGAGCGCCGTCTGGTCATTTTTAATAAAGCCAGATCTTTGCTTTATTAAATGTGCTGCTTTGCTTAGGGACCCTGCCGTGGTAAAGGGGTGCAGCATCCTTCAGGCTGCATTTCTGTTGGACTTCGTTCCCCTAGCCTGGCAACTAAAAGAAGGAATTTACCTGGCAAGGTGGGGTTGGGAGGCAGGCTCCCAGAGGGAGATCGCTCAGAGCATCCAAGTGACTTAGGAACATCTCCCACACCTGACACACGATGGGCTTTGCTCTCCAAAGCCCCAAAAGTCTTGTCTGTTTTGGGGAAAACGGTGTATTTTTAACATGTGAGAGCTTTCCCCTGAGAAAATGGTGCAGTTACATTTTGGGAAGCAGGGCCTTCTTTCCTGTAAGCCCATGTTTTCTTTTCCCTGGGATAGAGTCCACATAGTGGTGTGGTCTACAAGCTGAGCTGGAGAAGGCCCAGAGTCCCCCCAGCCCTGCGTAGCTGCAATTACACATCCACCTGTGTCCTGCTCTCTTCTTCCTCACTTATCCCTCTGCTGCATGCACATCTTGGGCTTTTCTCTGCCTGCAGGAAGTGGTAAAGAGCATGAATTTCTCAGAGGTGGTATGTTTTTCATGGCAAAAGAGGGTCAGGGCTATATGTGTGTGTCTACATGTGTTCCAGGAAACCCGTGACAACCATTTAAAAAAAAACAACCCAGCAAAACAAAAAAACTCCAACCTCCACCCTTTACTGGACATTATTTAAGTGACCATGATGTAGGAAACCGCATCTTAGCCATCATTTCTTGTTGCCTCCATGAAAGACTTGAGCTTAAATGAGAGAGAGGGGTGCTGGACAGCCCATGAAATCCCATTGATAGAACTGACCACTGCAGCAGTTCAGGAAATGAGGATGGCCGTAGTGATCCCAGGATTAATTAAAACCTTTAAAACTACAGCTAGTTTCTGTCTGGGCTGGGGGCTATAGTGTGTGGTTTGCCATGGGGAAGGGGGCAGCCCGCATCCCTGCGTTCACTGTATTTGTGATGAACAGCCAGAACATCCCTAAATCTGTGTAGGTCGAATCCAGATCCCATGATAGCTTAATGGCAACTCAATGGTGCATAAGCTCGTTCTGCATAAGCAATGAGGTCTGTGGATTGTGTGCAGGGACTGTCCAGTTGTCATGTGTTGGTACAGCGCCTAGCACCGTGAGGATTGGGGCTCTACAATGCTACCTCAGTTTAGAAAAAGGTTAAGGGCAAGTGTGCGTCTAAGCACATGAATAAGAGGCCGAGTTAGGGAGCAGCAAATATTCAATCACAATAAATAGAGACGTGCTTTTCCCCCCGCTTCCTGAGGAGCTAGTCAACCATCCGGCCATTTTATTTATTTATTAAATATCACCCGCGCTGGTTCAGCCGCAGGAACGCGCTGCTCTGTCTCCCGAATGATGATTGCCATCAGGCTGGAGAAATCAGTCATTTCTGGCAAGCCAAAACTGGTTGGTGAGTTAATGATGCAGGGTAAATACCGACAGTGGCCAGTGCTCTGAACATACCAGACGTGACCTCAGGGAATCATAGATTCTGAAGGGGCTGCTGCCGCCACTTCTCCATAATGCAATCGCTTCTTTATAATGGCCTCAACCTTTTTTTTTTTCCTTTATCATTATTGACCACGGAGCATCGGCAGAGCTGGAGAATAAATAGTTCCCTGATGGTTAACAACAGGCTTTCCACCAATCGGAACACAAGCTTTATTCTGTGTTATATTCTTTATAATCACACTTTATTGCACAGAGCAGAAAAGAAAAAAAAAAAAACCTCTCCTCTCTCTCTCTCCTCTTACCCCTCTTTCTTTCTCTCAGTGTCCCCCAGGAAGATTGGGGAGCTGTTCCCCTGGGGAGGGTTGGAAAGGCATGGTGGGGTAGGGCAACCACCAGTAGCATAGGTAGTTTTAAAGGAAATCAGCATGTTGGGACGTATGCTCATTGGGAATTGGGTCGGTTCAAAGGCTTTTGGAAAACCTGGCCCCCTGTTCTCCCCAGCTGCTTGAGAGGCTGGCAAGACTGGCCAAGCTGGGTAGCTTCTTGCATCTGCCGCAAGGCTAACACAGAAGATAAACAAGGCAAACTTACCCCTGCCTGGAAGAGCCAGAGCAGGGCTGAGAAAGGCCGGCAGGAAAAGTGTGTGCACATTGGGGGAGAGTGTGTATGTAGGGGGGAGTCACCCTACAAAGAGACCTGCGTGAGAGATGGGGGAAATCCCTGCACAAGGGGTGTCTGGGGGGCTGTGGCCTCAACAAGCTGGGGCTCCCAGGTGCCTGCTTGCACGGGCCAAAAATGCTGGACCCGCTCTCATCTCTCCCTTGTCCTCGTCTTGCCCCTTCCTCCGTTCTTTCCTGTGCCTTGCTGCCTTGTGCTTTCCTTTGCCGCTGCATGCCCTGCTTTCACGCAGCCTGTCTTCGTCTCTCTCAGATTTCTCCCTCGTCCCTGAAAGCTTGCAAATCAAGACATTTTTTGTTTGCAAATGTCTAGTTGGTCTAATAAAAGACATCACCTCTGCCACGAGTTCTGGTTCCTCTCGCCTCTTCCCTGCCAGCTCCCTGGCTCCCCTACCCCTGCCTCCCTGCCATCCTCCCTGTACTCTGGGGAGCCAGGCCCCATTCTCCTCCTCCTCAGGGCAGCTGGCTGGGGCAGAGGCGGCAGGCGCCTGGCGGGGCTGGCTGGCTCCTGTGCACCCCAGCGCCTGGGCAGCCTTGTTTGCGCATCCTTCCCCCCCTGTCTGGGGCCAGGGCTGGGGCTGGCTCCAGGGGGTGGGAGGTGATGATTTTCCAGCGGGTATTTGTCAGGTCAGAGTCTGCGCCGCCCGCCGGGCTCCGCTCCTCTCTCCCTGGGTTATTTATTACCTCTCTCCCCGGTGGCAGCGCTGCGGCTCCGGGGCTGCTGCCAGCAGCCAGTGGAGGCGGGGACCCTGCGCAGGGGGTTTCCAGAGCAGCGACCGTGCGGCTGGGAGAGTGCAGGGACAGCCTCTGCTGCCCCTTAGCCCTGGGTGCCAGGCCCAAGAGCCCAGCCAAAGGGCAGCGGGGAGGTGGCGGCATGGTCAGACGGGTCAGATGCCTGCCTGGAGCGCTCTGGGCTGCGGGAGGCAGGCAAAGACCAGTCCGGCCATCCAGGGCTGTGTCTCGAGCGTGCACCCCTCCGGCACTCTGCACCCAGCAGTGCTGCCACAGCTCCCCAAAGCGCGGCTCTGCTTAGGGGCAGACCCGGACACAGGCGTGGGCGAACTGGGCCCGGACAGGAAGGGGGCCCAAAAATGAAAAAAATAAAATTACAATTGCAAAAAAAATGTTTTAATATTGTGCATATACAGGACTGGCAGTGTTATCAATTGAGAACAAAGTGTTTAAAGACATCGATGCCACTGATGTGATAAAGACTGCCGTTCTTGGGGGTCTGTAAGAGAAGGCTGGATAGGCATCTGCCTCAGCAGGGGGTCGGACTCGACGATCTGTTGAGGTCCCTTCTGACCCTAGCATCTACGAATCTATGACTTTTCTGATTATTATTCTCATGATCTCTGGCAAAGGGGGG